CTTACGGGTCGTCCGAAGAAAATTGCTTGCCAAAATCTGGTGGAGCTAGAGCATCGTTTCCGCCCTTTATTATCAAAGGCAACAATGTCAAATAACAGCTGCGTTACAATATTTTTCTAGGAAAATAAAGATTTTATGATAATACATTTGATAAATAATCTCTCGAATAGGACTTGCTAACCAATGTGATGAAGCATCTTCAAACTTAGCTCGATTGCCGCATCATGTTGCTGTCTCGCCTACTATGCTCGTAACATTAAGCTTAAAATGTACATCAAATTTAAATAAACATTAACAATATACTAAGGTTCCAGATATAGTAGAAAAAATTTGTGCTAGGGTAGGGAAATCAGGTGCTGGCAGATACTTTAAGCGAAATAGATTATTAATCATTAGGAATCCTGAACGTTCCTGAAGAGAAATGAGTTCGCTGTTAATTAAACCACTTGTCCTTCTTTCTTGTCTACTCCTTTGGAAATATTCTTAAGAGCCTGTTGGAGTTGGCTTATCTCCTTAACATTATTTTTCATGTCAAGTGTCCTCTTGTTCATAGCCATACTCTTTCATCATCGCGAAGATATGATCACGATAAATCATTCCTGTCAACATCTCTACCAAATTCTATCTCAATAATCAGAGATATTGGGTGTTGAGTTATATTAGTTCAGTTTTATAGTTAAATCTGTTGCATTTTGATCGCTAGCTGTGCATTTTGAATCTTCGCATTTTTAGTATGTGCTAATAGTTGTATTAATTTGAAATTCTATCTGCAACTCTCCAGCAGGCGGAACTTTTTATGAGTCAATTGAATCAGTTAACAATCTCCCTACAATTATACAGAGCAGTAAAGTACATTGGAGCACAATAAGTTTAGACAACTAATACTGCTACCAGTATGCTTGTTGGTAGAACGGTGGGGAGGGCGGGTAGAGAGGGAGCAGGAGGCCTAACAGGCTCTCGGGCAGATGCTGGGGGAGGACAGGCCTTGGAATCTTCAGGCGGGCATGGTATGGAGGCGCTCAAACGGGAATAAACGAGTAAGTAGTGCATAACTTTTTAAAAAAGTTACCGAGATTCAAGAGTCAGATGTCTTTAACCTGAGATTTCCCCATGGTTGCTATTTTATCCAATACCCAATACTTGAAGCTCTGTTCAGCAGAATCTTCAATTTGAAAAGGGAAAATGGTTTTGAAGTTTACAAGAGATCATAAAACATGTATAGTTTTATTGTCTAACGTATTTCTAATGCTTTAATCTTTTTTTTTTTANTCTATGTTTGTGCGCAAAGGCGTCTCAATAAAACTCGTGCCTAAAGTCAAATTTTATAAATGGCCTTAATTTGTTATTTTTTGCTATAGTATAGTTAGCTTTGCAAAAATATAGTATTAATATTACATTGGGGTTTTTTTTTGCTGTTATGAGATATCTTATAAAATATAATATTAATATTCACATTGGTAATAAAATTGATGTTAGCCATGTATTTACAAATTGTTACCTTGGATCTTATTGTAATAAACGTTATTTATCAATATGAAGATGTGAGTATCTTAATTCAAAGCTCTAAAATATTCTTATTGTTAAAAAATATATAGTGTTTCTTCTTTTTTGTAACAACCCGACCGGTCATTTTGAGCTTTTGCATTTCGCTCGCCAGTTCTCGGGCATGGCTAGCCCCGTGTGATGTATTATGACTTATATAAATTGTCGGTTTTGGTTTTCAGGTTAATTGAAATGAATATGGAATAACAGTTTTCATTTTGAAACTTAAAATTTGAAAGGTTGACCAAGTTTTGACTTGTAAGTAGATGACCTCGGATTGGAATTTTTATGATTTAGTTAGCTCTGTTAGGTGATTTGAGACTTATGAGCGTGGTCGGAATGTGTTTTGGAGGTCCGTAGTAGATTTAGGCCTGAATTGGCGAAATTGGTATTTTGGCGTTTTCCGGTTAATAGGTGAGATTTTGATATAGGGGTCAGAATAGAATTTCGGAAGTTGCAGTAGCTCCGTTGTGTCATTTGGGATGTGTGTGCAAAATTTCAGGTCATTCGGACGTGGTTTGATAGTCTTTTTTATCGAAAGCAAAATTTAGAAGATTTTAGAATTCTTAGGCTTGAATCCGATGCAAATTTGGTGTTTTGATGTTGTTTTGAGCGTTTTAAAGGTTGAAAAAAGTTTGAATGATGTTACGGGATATGTTGGAATGTTTGGTTGAGGTCCCGAGGGCCTCGGATGAGTTTCGGGTGGTTAAATGGGCCAATTGCATGTTTGAAAAATTTCAGATTTGGCTTCAGTTCTATTGCAGACTTTTGTTCTCTGCAATCGCATAGTAAGGTTCGCGATCGCGGAGGTCTATTAAGGGCAGCTGGTAAACTTGTCTTATGTGATCGCCAATTTGGGTTTGCGATCGCAAAGGTCTGTGGTTTTGGCTATCCCGACCGCGTGGATAGGGTCGCGATCGCGAAGAAGGATTTGAAGCGGTCGTGAGGTGAAGGATTTTCTCTACGTGATCGCGTAGTGAGGGCCGCGTTCGCGATGATTGATGAGTTTGTTGTTCGCGATCGCATGTGTTGTTCCGCGATCGCGTAAAGTAAGTGAGGGGTAGTCCATTTTTGTGCTTCGCGATCGCGAGGCAATTTCCGCGATCGCGATTAAGGAATTTTAAGTGCTGGCAGAATGTTTTAAAAGCTCATTTCCGCGATTTTGAGGCTAAGTTCCTTCATTTTTGGGCGATTTTGAAGCTTCTTGAAGGGAATTGAAAAAGGAATCAAGGGGGAACACTTGGAGGTAAGATTTATGAACTTTATACTCGATTCTTATGTGAATTCTACCTAATTAATCATGGAATTTAAGCCTAAATTGAAGAAACTAGGGCTTGGAAACTTAGACCTTTGATTGAGGATTTGAAGGACCATTTGTGGTCGGATTTTGGAACATTTAATATGTATGAACTCGTGGGGAGATAAGGAATCTATTTATGTAAATTTTATCGAATTCCGAGATGTAGGCTCGGGGGTCGGGTTGTTGGTTAATTTCGGGAATTTCATTGTTTTTCGATTGTTTTCGAGTGGGCTTTTTCCCTTTAGCATATTTTGATGGTTACGTTCTGATTTTGGTAGATTCGGAGCATCCGGAGGCCGATTCAAGGGGCAAAAAGGCATCGCGAGCTAGACTTTGGGCCGGATTGAGGTGAGTAATTATTTTAAATGTT